TAGACATGATAGTAGAAGAAAGCTAGAAAAAATGACTAACCACCAACTACAAAAAAAAATGTATGGTCATCAGCACAAATAAAAGCCCTAGATGCGAATTAAACATTGGAGTTTAAATATCTGGGAAGTGTTTTAACAGAAGATGGGAAATGCGACATTGAAATTTGAACACGCGTTGGATCAGCGAAATATGCCTTTCAGAAGCTAAGCAAAAGGATAAGAAACAAAAAATCGTTAAAAAAGAGTGCAGGGTTGCTATATGATATCCAACCTCTTATAAGGCAGTGAATATTGGGCAATCTTCTCACAGATGAAAAAAACTGCAGGCAATAGAAATTTGGTTCTACAGAAGGATACTGAGAATTTCTTGGACAAAGCTATTAAGCAACAAGCAAGTCATAAAGGGAATGGAAACAAAAAAAATAATCAGGAAGAGACTGCTGAAATTCCTTGGACGCATAATAAGGAAGAACGTCTTGGAAAACAATTTCTCGGGAAATATGAAAGCATGGAGGGAGATGACGACGGGCGAGACATTGCCTACTTGACAAGCTTAATGGAATGGATGGCGGCATGGGAGATGGAAGCCTTAGCAAAGGGAGAAAAACTGCTAAAGGTCATAAGTGATAGGAAGTTTTGGAGAGCCATGATCGCCATGTCCTGAAGGGACGCGGCACATATAAGAAGCGTGTTCATCTCTAACCACGCTTTTGTGCCATGTGTTCATGGCTATCCACGGCCTCCTATCCCCTAAGACATGTTTGAATCTTTACCATCCGTTTTTGTCTCTACCCTGTCATGAATTCGGACAAATGTCCAAAAGTAGAAAACGCGTTGATTTTCCTTATTTTTCTTGCCGTCATTTTTCTTGCCGTCCTGTGAGTGTTATTTTCTCCAAGCTCCCTTTCATTATTACGTATCCCAGAAATTTAAACTCCTTCTGAATGTAAGTATAAATTTTCTTGAAGTTGCTATTTCTTTTCAAACTTTTCCCTTACTCACGTTATGTTTTGCCTGCTTTGCAAGTGGAGCAACGTCTATTCTGGATCACGACTAGAGTTTTATCGCCCCCAGAGGTCAATATACAGTTTGCTTGATTCTAACTGGATGAAGATAAAACAGCGACCTTGATCCAAGCTAATCTAATCTTTTTCATTTATTCTATTTCGTACCAAACTAAGTCTCGTCAACATTATTACCCGTCAAAAATTAAAATATGAGTTGAGGATTCGTGGTTTACGAAACAAATCTTTCAGTTATCACCTTAACAAAAAGTCTGATTTTTTTATAGTCTTTTATTCCTAAACATCTTCCATTTGCCCTGTCCTTTCACGACGAGGCTTACGACCTATCACATTGAAACACAGGTTCCGTAACAATCGCCATAGTTAAGCAACGTCGAAGCTGGTCAGTATGTAAATGGGTGACCGTTTGGGGAAAAAAGGTAATGTAAGTTTGGACGTGCTGACTTCACTATAATCTTTTCACTTCATATCATCCGAGAATGTTAGCCTTAGAAGGCGCAACGGGTCACTCTCCTGGAGGTTAGTATCAGCCATGCTGATGATATGTAGGAAGGAGTCTTTCACGTGATTAACAGAAAGAATTTCGTTTTGGAGGCGCTAAAATTAACAAGCTATTCCTTGTCCCAGTTAACAGTAGATTGTAGGTTATTTTTTTTTAGATCAGCTACCAATTTGACCTTATCGAACTGATCAGACTAATTATCGAAACAGGAGTAAATGGTTTTGTCATCAGTATAGATACCAAGTTGAGAACTGATATCATCAAGAGGGTTGTTAATGAACATTAGGAGCAAAGTAGGTCTAAAGATGGTGCCTTGGGTGACACCTGTATTCGTACAAAAAGATTTAGAAGAGTGGCCATTCAAGACAACATTCATTTCGCGATTAGATAAGAAAAAACTGAATCTGTTAAAAAATCCGTTCGGAAATAAGCCTTTCAACTTGGGGAGAAAACCGGTGTGCCAAACCCTGTCAAACGTTTTCGAGATGTCCAAAGCAACAGCCCGAGCTTCACTTGGCTTATCTAAAGCTTGTAACACTCTCTCAGCAATAATCGTTAGTACGTTAGCGGTTGACTAAAGAAGCAACAGCCATATTGCTTGTTTGAAAGAAGGACTTTATGGGTCCTTGACTTTTTGCATTTCCCTATTGGTCCTGGCTATGATGAAAACCTACATTCGTCAGAAAGGCCTCTGATCGGTGGGTTTTGAATAGCGTGTAACCACCTCTTAATTGTACTTGTTTCCAGATCCATCCTGACCTGGGGTGATAGCACATGTTAGGATCCCGGTTTTGGGCAAATAGTTAACCACAAAACTGGGTCAAAACACCATGAAAGTATAAAAAAAAACTTTATTGCAAAAATTACCAGCAATGCATTTTCATATAAAATACATTTTTTCTAAAAGAAATCGAATTGAGAAATCGAAGAGCCGAGTTCGAATTCCAGTCGGATCCATTACATTCACTTACGTGCTAATAACCTTAGGATAGGTATGAATCCTTTTCTTCTCCATCCAGTTATAAGTAAATAGTAAGACAGACCGGGTTCTATAGCCTTGGATGGCAACTGGTATACTGCAGAAAGAAATGGCAACCTACTGCGTTAAAAAAATCTGCCCCGTCAGTCATGTATCGAAAGATGCATGATCGCCTAAGCGTGTATCACGCATGGCACATAACTGACTGAATGGTTCCAAGAAAATTAAATTTCGGCATTAAATGACCCATACAGAGTTGATATGCCGCTAAGCAAACAAAACATCTCCATAAACTTTTTCAAGGACAACAGTATGTATTTTCAACAGCGTGAAAGCCGCAAATAGCATTTATGATTGAATAATATTCGGAATCAATATGGCGGTCTAAATTTGACCTCACTTCAGGAGGTAGCTGCTAAATGGCTCTCCTTAGCCTACTATCCTTTATAGCACTAAAGAACGTTTGATTTTTGCAGAGATTAGACTGAGTACAGAAAGAAATTGATAGAGAGCAACAGACTTGACGACTTATACTGAAATTGTAACACAGAAACCCGATATCGCATCGTAAGAGTGACAAATTCCACTGAGAAAATAAACAAAATATGAAGAAATAACAAAATGCCTTAGAAACAAAGGAAAGTGTGTTGAACTGCGGTCGAATATTTAATTAAACTTTGAATTTTAGTATCACATTTTTCAGATATTTAAATTTTTCTATTTGCTTTTTTTTTATTGGTTTATTTAGCTTTACGGCATATCAACCACAATGGGTTATTTAATGCCGACAAGATTTTTAGCATAGGGTCGTATGATTGTTTATAAGAAATCAGTTTGTAGATCAAGTTTGTTTTGTTTTACGGCATATCAATCTCAATGGGTGGACACCTCGAGGCGGTGTAATGGTTAGTAAGCTTGTCTCGCTAGAACAATTATGACTGAGAAGTGAGTTCGATCCTCACTGGGTGCCCCCTACTTTTGGCCTTGTGCCACATCTAAACTATGCTTTGAAAATCACTTTTGGGTACCTCAAGGCGGTGTAATAGCAAGATTGTTTCGCTAGAATAATTACGACTGAGTAATGAGTTCTATACTCACTGGGTACCCTATACTTTCAGCCTTGTGCCACATCTGAGCTACGCTTGGAAAATCACTATCAACCTCTATGGGTTATTTAATGCCGACAAACGTTGTAATAAATATGGCGGCAAAGATGAGGACAATAGTCCGAATAATGTAAATAGTGTCTTCATTGTGTAATGCTCAATCAGTTCAGTAACCTGCATTGTCCTTGTGCCAGGTATAGGTAAAATTATCATTCAACGAGCGAATATTACATCATATAAAAACATGATACCTTCTTGGTTGTTGACATGAGGTATAGTCTGTTTATCTTGTTCTAATTTCTTCCCCACTCCCAGCGATGAGTGTCACGAATGACAGCCCAAAAAGAAGGCCCCAATTCATTGGGTGAACTTATTTTAAAACTCTCTCCAGAAACAGCGTGCAGAATTACAAGAGTTTATTTAATACGTATACAGAAAAAGCACACGTAAGACCTTTCTTTTTCTTTCTTCACTCTCTCTCTCTCGCTCCCTCTCCACCCTTCTCACTCTCTTCCTCCATCACTCTCTCTCCCCTCCATCACTTTATTTTCCCCTTCCCTCAATCTATCCCCTCCCCACTCCCTTCTCGTCCTCACCCTCTCTCATTTATATAAATATATATTTATCCCCACAAAAAAATAACAACGATATAATAAGAAAAGGCATTGATTAAAATAGGTTAAAACCTCACAGGGTGCGTTACTTTGTCCCCCTTTTATGACCTTATGCCAGACTAAACTGAGTAAATATCTGTCTCAAAACTTGATCCAGCCACAGGAAGTAATCACTGACCTGACCTATTCCAGGGAGGTGGCCTCATGCCTTTTTAGCGTAAATTAAAAAAATAAGTACACAATACCACAGCGTGAATTTGAACTCCTGTCTTCTTCTATGCACTATGTTCCTTCTGGACGTAGACAATCACGGCTCTCCACAACTTTCAATTCTGTGTAGCTCTTAGCAATGTTTATCACCTTTCTAACGGTATTTACGGTTGGTGTACTAGATAACGGCACGGAATAAGAAATCAAAGAACCGAGTTCGAAGTACAGTCGAGTTCGCCACATTCACTTACGCACAGGAAATGTATAAATTCACTTCTCCTCAGCTATGGGTTAATTAGTATGACAGACGATATTACTATATAATTTGTATTTATCCCCAATATTTTTAATGCAATATTCACTCGGAAACAAAAGAACTATTCTTATACAATTCAAAAATATGTTTCGGTTTTAAATAAACCTAATGGGTTGATAAACCGTAAAATAAAATCAGTCAACTCTTTATTATCCCTCGCAATCCCTGTTCTGACGTCCATTTACACAAAGTCGTTTTTCCATGTCTACAAGACTTTTTGCTGTTGTCGTTCTAACCGAGTGTTAGTCATGACGGGTCCGTTCACTGTGCACGAATTTTATCTCCGCGTTTGTGGCGTGATCCAACTCCATATTTGTAGACGATTTCACTATCTTGTTTCTTTCTTACTTTTGCATTTAAGTACTGCATGCTGATAAAAATATAATCTTGCAGTTTGAATTGCTCTTTGACATTGTCTGATGCAGGGATCCGGTACGTATGCCATACGTGACACGACAAGCAATTTCCAATGGCACGCAGCCACGAATGATATCACAAAGTCCGAACCTATAACTACTACAACGCAAAGAAGATATTTAGCTGTTTCAATTTTAATATGTTCTAAAATATATATACTACATATTACTATATCAAATATCTTGTAGGACAGGTATATTGACTTTGACTTGTATAAAAATATGTATGCTGTTGGCACACTGAATAAGTCGGCACATAGCAAAAGGTTACCGACCCCATTTTTAGGCCATTCTTATGACACTTTTATGACATTTTAATGTCGTGTTATGCCATTCATGCAACATTGTTATGATATAACCAGTGGGAGCGGAGGAGTTGCTTGGACGCACATACATCCTCTCTACTTTATATATAAAATATTGTAGAACAGGTATATTGACCTTGACTTGTATAAAAATACGGATGCTGTTGGACAACTGAATGATTTTTTTTTGAAAAAGGCACATAGCAAACTTTTGCTAACCCCTGGTTTAATATAATTGTAAAACTTCAATGTTTTTTTCTTCGGCGCTTTTTATGACTGCATTAAATAGCTTGCATTTTAATTTCACCAGAACTCTACCCTACGTACCAATATCCCAGAATACATGTTCTCTTGTCTTTATCTAATATTAGTCTGACTCCTCTTTCATTTCTGTCTCTATCGATTATATGAATCCGTGTCCTTTACTTGTTCTCCATTGCTTATCCATCTAGTTGCAAATACTTTTAAGATGTTGACATTCAGCCTCTCTATTTCTTGCATGATATTTTCCAACTTTACTCATTGATACGGTGTCCTGACATTCCATGTCCAGATTATGATTTGGTCTTTCTTGCTGTCATTGGATGATTTCAGGTGGAATATCTTGCACATATCTCTCCTTGCCGGGCGAGAAGTCAATTCCAAGAAATCTGACTCCCTTTATACCGTTTACGGATAATGTTTTAATTACGTATTGCCAGGATGTTAAGGATATCGTGGACCGAGCGTGTGATCAACGATGATGTTTTAGACAGGATGCAAACAAGGAGGAAGCTTATACTTAACATCAGGAAGAGGCAGATGAAATTTCTGGGACACATAATGAGAAAGGAGAGCCTGGAGAATTTGATACTCAGACGTCGAATAGAGGGAAAGAGAGACAAGGGAAAGCAAAGCATGACATACCTGGCGGTCTTAAGCAAGTTGATGACAGCACGTGGTCTGGGGGAGGTGGCAGAGGGACGAAACTTATTTAGAGCTACAAGGGATAGGAAGAAGTGGAGAGCCATGATCGCCTACGTCCTGAAGGGACACGGCACATAAAAGAAGAATTCAAGGAAAATATGGAGAGCCATGATCGTTTACTTCTTGAAGAGACATGACGGGCGAAAAATAATATTTACGGCAGCAAATGTTGGATAGTCTCATCAAAGATGAAGAAGAGACTCGAGGCAACAGATGTATGGTCCTACAGAAGGATGCTAAGGATATCATGGACCGAGCTTATGAGCAACGATGAGGTTTTAGACAGGATGCAAACAAGGAGGATGGTTAAGCTTAACATCAGTGGGCACCTCGAGGTGGTGTAATGGTTAGCAAGCTTGTCTCCTTCAGAACAATTACGAATGAGTAGTGAGTTCGATCCTCACTGGGTGCCCCATACTTTCAGTAAAATTATACATCTGAGCTACGCTTGGAAAATCACTACTTAACATCAGAAAATGGCAGATGAAATTTCTAGGACACGTAATGAAAAGGACGGCCTGAGAATTGATACTCACAGGTGGAGGATCCTTTAAAGAGAAACAAGGGAAAGAAATGCATTCTGACTTAAGCAAGTGGATGACAGAACGTGATCTGTGGGAGGTTGCAGAGGGGCGAAACTTATTGAGAGCTACAAGGAATAGGGGGGAAGCGGAGAGCCATGATCGCCTACGTCTTGAAGGGTCACGACGCATAAAAAGAAAAAAGAATCGCCAGGATTTATCCGATAATGAATAGAGGAGTGGTTTCCGTTTGTCTCCTTCATATGAATTAAGAATACAAGGTTCAACAGAAATACCGCCCACAAATCCCAAGACATTAATTGCAATGATGTCTTCATCTAGCTAATTATATGGGTGGTATTTCTGCCGCACCCTGTAGTTAAATTTTTTTGGATACATTACGGAAAAATGTCTTAGAGAATTTGACACAAAAGCTTCTACAGAACTGTTACTTTTTCGGAACAGACTCCCGAGAGGATGCTTCCCTGACCTTTATATTCTTAACATCTTCAAGTTCAGGCTCAACCAATAACTATTTTGCATATCTTCATAATATACACCACTTACTTCCTCCTTCCGCTTCCTTCATTCAGTAACTCTCTAAAAGTCCAAAAAATTGGAGTCTGGTATTAGGGGGAACTATCTAAAAAAACGAAAAAAACATTGAACTTGAGCCAAAAGGAAAAATTTTTGTTTTGTTTTTGAAGCAGAACGTTTACCTCCTAGATAATGATATTACATGTAGCTGTAGCTGTTACATATCATACCTATGAAGAGTAATGGGTATGTCCAAATCGTCATAAATACGTTGGACACTATTATAAAATTATATAATATGGTGTCTAAGTAGTTGTGTTTATTAGATGGTTTACCTACTTCACGCCGCTGGCGAGTATTGTATTTTGTTGATGAGGATTACCATTTCCAACCTTCGTTTTGATTATTCCTCATTCAGCAACCTTGCCTCGGTTACAACAGTAGCTATGATCTGAACATTATGTAGGTATTTCTGGAAGGTATACATGGGAGTGGGTATTTCTGCCTCAAAAGAAGGCCCCAATTCATTGGGTGAGCTTTTTTAAAACTCTCTGTTTAAAAAAACGTCTTAATTACAAAGTTTATTTAATGTCTTAAGGAAAAAAGCAGGTAAGACCTTTCTCTTCTTTTCTTATTTAAAAGTTTAACTATATTTCACAAAACTTAGAAATTTTATCTCTTTTTGATATCCTCCTCGCTCTCTTTTGTGTTATTGTCTCTCTCCCTGAACCCATTTCTATTTCCCACTATCCTCCTCCACTTCTTCCTGTAATCTCTCTCTTCATTACCCAAAATCCTTCATTGATCTTCCTATATCTCTCCCTCTCAAGCCTCAAAAATTATAAATTTTATAAAATTCTTTTGTATCAATTCTCTTTCCTGCCTCTCACTCTCTCGTTAGATTTTCCTCGTTAAAAACTCTCTCTCTCTCTTTTGAAATTCCATTTTGTTTTTCTCCCCTCCTCAATTTATTTTCCCTGCTTTGTTCTCTCTCCTTCCTTACCTATTCTCCCCCCTTCTTCACTCTGTATTATTTTTACGTGAGAATTTACATTGAACATTGTGAAGAAAGGAATTAAAACAGGTTTTTTTTACTGGGCGAATAAGGCTACTTTAAGAATGTAAGTGTGCAGGTGGTGTAATGGTTAGCAGCTGAAAAGGCTAAACCGGCGATCCGAGTTCGAATTCCAGCCGTTGATTACATTCACATTCACGCGAATACCCTTGGAAAAGGCTTGAATCTATCTCTTCTCCCCAGTGTTAGTGGTAATCAGTTTAGAAGAAGGGTGATTCTCAATTCCAACCCCTAAATGTTAATTTAAGGCAGCACTGTTTATGTTTTTATTAAGTGACTCTGTATTCTTGAAATGGACTTAGCAGCTATATTGTTGAAATACCGGTTCCCGTACAATCACCGAAGTTAAGCAACATCAAGCCTGGTCAGAACTTAGATGGGTGACCGCTTAGGAATACCAGGTGCTGTAAAAATTTGGATGTGGTGTGTGGATAATGGCTTGGAATAATTGATCGGAGAGCCGAGTCACAATTCTCGTTGGATTCGTTATATTCACTTTGCACGCAAATACCCTTGGGGAAAGGTATGAAAACTCCTCTTTCCCCCCAGCTATGGATTAATTAGTAAGACTTGTATCACTAAACAATTATTATCTCAAAAAAACATTCTTAGACTCTAAAAATACTTTCTGGATTTAAATAACCGGCAAAGGCTTGATAAGCCGTAGAAAACGAATCAATCTCGATTAGGATCGACTTACAACTTTGTTTTATAATCGTTTCACCCTAAGCAAGGCGATAAAGCCATGTGTCCGTCTTGTCTGGTCTGTTTTTTGCGCTCCTCTCGACTGAGAAAAACACTGGTGTTTTATAGCTCTCCCAGTCCCAGACCCACAGTGATTACTAATACTTTCCCAGTATTGTTCATATACAAGTAGTCAGCGCCATCTTCTCTAAGTAGAAGGTCTTGTCTCAAAAGCTCATTGTGGAAGAAGACGCAACTCCTCGTGCTTACAGCACCACATACAACTAACACGGGGTGACCCGATTCTCTGTTACTCTCCCCACTGGGTTCCTAATCATATTCCTTACGTGCTAGCTTGGACACAGGATATGGTGAGCCAGCTGTCATCCAACCAGGTTTTCAACTCTCTGTAATCCATTCCAGGGCGTGTACCTTTTCCTTGTTCTCTCTTGGATCACGGAACTAGTGGAACTAGACCCTTGGGAGGTCCGAGCTCCTCCTCAGAATATATGATCAGGACATACAACCAACTCGGTGTCTTTTATCCGATTCCCTGTTACGAGTTACTAGGACGCAATTGGTGGGGGATACTGAAAGAATATGGAGATAAAAACATGATTAAGGAGATAAGACTATAAATGAACTTGAATTCAGGAGACAAAAGATGAAGACTGGTGCTGCATTTCAATTCTTGAAGATCATAATTAACAGAAAATGAAGGAGCTGTAAGAGAGTTCTACAAGGGAGAAGTGTGAGAGAAGAAACTATTAGCATAGAACTTACGGTTATATCTAGCAAATGCATTTGTAAGACGAGATCCAGCTGTCAACCTAGAACCGCGCTTAAATTCGCTTAATTAAAATAAAATCGATATATGAAAGAGAAAAGCAATTTTTATTCAGGTATAATACAAAACTGAGGCACAAAGTCAAAAGTAGCCATCGAGAATGGCTGGTCTTCAGCTTGTCTTATTTTAAACATAACTAGCCACGATTACTGACCCAAACATACCAGTACTCTTTACACCAAAACATTATATTCTTACTACAGTCACCATAATACACCAAAGTCTCTATGAAGTCCTAACTAGTTCCCATATGTACAATTTGTCTGTGGTGGGTGAGGCATAAAAATAATGACATTCAAGGAGGAAAGCTTATCCGAACAGTTAGACTACCTCTATCTTTTCTATATCTATATTCATTCTATGTTACGACAGTGGGAATGTGAGAAGCCAAGATGCTGACACTGCGTTGGCGTATTATTATTAATATTGAAAATCTCACTTGCAATTGTAAAAAGAAATCGTAAGAGACTGGCACATCAACAAAAACAATACGCTGTCCGGTGGCAAAAGCTGCTGGTGGCGCCAGGGGTGGCAGTACCGCCTTAGTTACCGAAATTGTGTTAAGTCCTCCTTGTTGGCGGCTGACGAGAACAAGGTATTGCACGTGCTTTCACACGTTGTATGTAGAAAAAATATTGATGTAAATGCAATTCTAATGATTTTATTATAGAAATGTAGAAAAAAAAGCAGAGAGAAAGGAATTGTCAGTGGTCAGAAATCAGTGCACGCATTACTGACAGAATAAAACTCTTAAATAAATTATTGTATTATCATGGGAAACAAAAAAAAAATCAGAGTTCATCAAGCTTCAGGCATTTCTTCCAATTAAATTCATGATTCTACTTTTTTTTCTCTCTCTCGCCCGATCTACCAAAGATTAATATCACTGAAAATCTTTTTTTCCCCTGATTTGAAAGTTTATAGAGTGAATTCATTTTAAAAAGAAATTAAAATAGATATAAAAATGACACTAAAGTGATCAAATCATTTGTCCAGGCTGAAACCTAACTTGCGTAGATCCAATCTGCTCACGTCAACAAACGCCAACATATTCGACCCATTCCACGCATGTCTACAGATATGAAGAGTTCTCTTTTTTAAGTTATTTGTTGAGCAAAACCGACTTTGATATAAGAATTCTCTGATCACCAGTCATCATCATCATCAGTCCTATAATCGGATGTGGTTGGAAGGTTGCTGTGAAGCTGACAAGCTCCCTCCAAATTTCTCGGTTGCGTGGAAATGCCTGAGTCTCTGAGGACTATCTTCCAGTCTCAGTTCTTAAGCAAAATCAGAAATATTTATTATGACGTCAAAGGAAGGAAAGAAAGCGATATCATTTTCTACAAATATTTTCATGGTAATTATTCTGATCAGCTTCTCTCTTTGGTACCTCAATTTTACTAATTTAAACACAGTACCAGATGTGTAGTTAGGTCTCGACATTTTTCAGTTGAAATTTCTAGACATAAGTTCGATGTTTATTGTTTTTCTCTCTCGCACTTCTCGCTTGTGGAAATATCTTCCAGCTTCTTCCTTCCAGTCAACTTTGATCTTCAAAGATTTAAACGCATCATCATCGTCTCCTTAATTCTTGGTCCTTTATTGTCCTCTCTTCTTAATAATGTTTTTATGTCGCAGTTCTTACTAATAGAACTTCCACCAGCTTCATGCTTTCCAGTCAACTTTGATCTTCAAAGATTTAAATGCAATGTCAATCGTTATCTGTTGTGTTTTTAATCCCTGTTTTTTTATAGTGCTCCCTCTCCTTAATTATGTTTTTTTCTCGTATTCTTTCACACTCAATAACCCCCTTGCGTCTTAGAGGCTTCATTGCCTTGCTTGGATTGAAATGATTTTTTTTAAATGCCATTATTAGCAGTTTGCTTCTCTGTCGTCGACCTGTTTACATGGCTCCGTACCAGACAAAAATAAATTTAAGAAATATTTAGGAGTATTTAATTCTAAGACATCCAATGTGGCTTGAACCCAATTTTTCAAAATGCCATGTCCCTTAAGGACGTTGGCGATCTCTCCACAGATACCCTTCCCCATTATCTGTGAATTGCTATGACTTCGTAGGAAAGATAGAGGATCGATTTTTCGTTGATTATCTCTGATTTTGAATTCAGAGTTTTCTTTCTGCTAGACTGGCTGCTATCCAAAGTTAGAGAGTCCAACTCTGTTATTGCTAGACTGGCTGCTATCCAAAGTTAGAGAGTCCAACTCTGTTATTGCTAGACTGGCTGCTATCCAAAGTTAGAGAGTCAACTCTGTTATTGCTAGACTGGCTGCTATCCAGTTAGAGTCCAACTCTGTTATTGCTAGACTGGCTGCTATCCAAAGTTAGAGAGTCCAACTCTGTTATTGCTAGACTGGCTGCTATCCAAAGTTAGAGAGTCAACTCTGTTATTGCTAGACTGGCTGCTATCCAAAGTTAGAGAGTCCAACTCTGTTATTGCTAGACTGGCTGCTATCCAAAGTTAGAGAGTCCAACTCTGTATTACTAGACGGCTGCTATCCAGGATTAGAGTCCAACTCTGTTATTGCTAGACTGGCTGCTATCCAAAGTTAGAGAGTCCAACTCTGTTATTTTATAGACTGGCTGCTATCCAAAGTTAGAGAGTCCAACTCTGTTATTGCTAGACTGGCTGCTATCCAAAGTTAGAGAGTCCAACTCTGTTATTGCTAGACTGGCTGCTATCCAAAGTTAGAGAGTCCAACTCTGTTATTGCTAGACTGGCTGCTATCCAAAGTTAGAGAGTCCAACTCTGTTATTGCTAGACTGGCTGCTATCCAAAGTTAGAGAGTCCAACTCTGTTATTGCTAGACTGGCTGCTATCCAAAGTTAGAGAGTCCAACTCTGTTATTGCTAGACTGGCTGCTATCCAAAGTTAGAGAGTCCAACTCTGTTATTGCTAGACTGGCTGCTATCCAAAGTTAGAGAGTCCAACTCTGTTATTTAATCCATATGTGAATGTGGAGATTCACGCCTTTCCTATGGTTATTATTGTGATAATGAACGTAACAGACTAAGCTGAAATTTGAACTCGTCTCGTTGGCCCCACTTTTTAGATGGATAACCACTACGCCAGGCACGCATCCCGAACCTATAAGCAAATTCTTTAGCTTGTGAATCTCCCTTATTAAATATCGATCTACAACTGATATTTCTCGTAGCCAAGTCATCAAGTGAGGATAGTACTTACTTCACTGTGTTGATATTCTGCTAGACTAGCTCACCCGACAACAAAACACACTAATTCATGTATTGAAGTTGTTGTGTAGTGCATTAGCATGTATTATGTTTTCAGTATATCAGGAATATAATAATGCCTCTAGTGGGCTTTGGAGTACGAAGAAAACCAACCTACTTACTCTTTCTTTCCATTACCACTTTAAAACTTTTATTTTTCTTAAAAATGAAGAATTTCAGAAAACAAATGAATGTAATCGATATAAGAGGAAAACATTTTCATACATCTTGTTAGATACTCAAGGGCGTGTAAAGTTTGGGGAAAACACCTAACTGATTGCTCTCCCAATGTGGGAGTAAGCGGCAGAGAAGTGTAAGAGAAACACCGCCTCAGAAACTATAACACGATGAGCGGCACTCAACTTAAGTTACAAAAATTTCCAACTTCACAAGACACCGAGCCTCGCAACTGCCTACCGCTGACTGCTGGTTTTCCTGCCGCTTTTCTTGACAGGAGAAAATTGACAGAAACTCTGATTTAGACAAGTTGCAGAGAGGCCCGTATCTGGACAGGCCAAACTGTTCTGCTGTTAACGGGGAAAACTCGGATGTAACTGGTGTTGATAGACATGTCCGCGCGGGTTTTCTGGGCTTCTTCCGCGTCTGTACGGATGCGCGTTCGCCATACATCTGTTATTTTGAAGGGGACTGGGAGTTAATATTTATTTGAACACCTGCTTAAATTAGCCGCGATTCTCCTAACAAAATTAAGTAGAAAATTTCAAAAGTCTGAAAATAAATTCAATACGTACATGGTTATTTACTATTTATTTATAAACAGAATGAAGTGTAATATTGTTTAGAACAGGAGGGAAAATCCATTCTTCAACGGACTACCAACCTTCGATTGTGAGTGAGAAAGCCACTGACAATAAGTTTGTTTGAAAAAAAGAAACGTGGCATTAGGTAACCAATTTGTTACGAAATTCAGCAGTTTGTAGCAGCGTAGTGTTATTTGTTGAACTGGGATATTTTCTTGTGTGGACGAAATACATTTGCCCTGGCAAAGGTCTTTTTTCATCCAATATTTTCATTCAAAATTTCAGTTGCTCACGTGTTTGAAAAACGTAACAGTTTGTTCAGCTCCCATCAATTTCCTTTAAATCCCACCAAGTACAGAATATTTTTCTATAAATTGTGTTTAGAATGGTCGGCTCAAAAAAACTACTCGATAAAAGATAATTATCTGGGTACCCTGTCTTTACAAGAGCTAGATCAGATTTCTACTATGTATTGCCAAATATTTTATTATAAAAATGTATTGCCTATGATTTATAATTTAAAAAGGCATAGCTAATAATCTTTTACTTTAAACGGTGTCTTTCTCATTCTGTCACCTCTCCCTTTCTTTCTTTCTCTCTCTCTCTCAGTCCGTCGGCACCTTTCTCATTTTGTCCCTCTCCTTCTCTCTCACAGTCAGTTGGCGCCTTTTTCATTCTGTCCCTCTCCCTCTCTCTATCTCAGTCAGTTGGCGCCTTACTCATTCTGTCATTCTCCCTTTCTCTCTATCTCAGTCTGTCGACGTCTTTCTCATTCTGTACTTCTCCCTTTCTCTCTATCTCAGTCAGTCGGTGTCTTTCTCATTCTGTCCCTCTCCCTATCTCAGTTGGCACGTTTTTCATTCTGTCCTTCTCCCTCTCCTATCTCAGTCGACGCCTTTCTCATTCTGTCCCTCTCCCTTTCTATTTCAATCAGTTGGCGCCTTTTTCATTGTCCTTCTCCCTCTCCCTCTATCTCAGTCTGTCGGCGTCTTTCTCTTTCTGTCTCAGTTAGTTGGCATCTTTCTCATTCTGACCCTCTCTCTCTCTCTCTCTCTCAGTATGTTGTCTTTTTCATTCTTTTCATCTCTCTGTTCCTCTCTCCCTCTCTCTCTCACACACACACAGTCCGTCGGCGTCTTTCTCATTCTTTTTTTTCTCTCTCCCTCCCCCAGTCTATTTACGTCTTTCTCACTCTGTTCATATCTGTCTGTATTTACATCATTTTTCACGCCACAATCAAAGTCTATTCATATCTATTCAAACGTGTTCACATCTGTCCACCGAAATCCGTTCATTAATTTACTCTTTTCATTACTTTACAGTCTACGAATAACAGATAATCTTATACAATTATACATGTAATTACTCTTTTCTGCCAGTAACGGTTGCTTTAATTCCTGACCATTGACAATCCCTTTCTTGCCGATCTTCATTGCCCAAAGCCGTAATTGAGTACCGAAAAAATATTCGGATAATTCAAAGCGACAGTTTTAGTGATAGCACCTATCGCCCTCAATCACCCAAATCAATATAGTTTTTACTTTTTATAGCTTAGATGTGGAGGGTCCGAAATTATAGGGGCACCCATGCAGAGGAGAGAAAAGCTTGCTAACCATTACACAACGTCGAAGACCCAAACCTAAATCAATATATATCGGATTTAAATGTCCTTGTCGTTAAAATACAACGGTTATAAATTCATTTTCTCCCTAACATAAAATTTGATATATAGGTGGATAAAGTGGATAAAGGCTCGGATTGATGAATCGGAGAGTCGAGTTAAATTCCTCAAAAGCTAATACCCTTCTTAGCCCTCTATTTGAGTAAATAGTAGGATAGACTTATTTCTATAGTTCAACAATGGAATCTGGTCTGGGAGAATGACAAATGTGAATTAAAAAAATCTGTGGAGGGTTTTTGGGGGGAATAGGTTTCAGTACACCAGATCTTGTATTAGATAAAAAAAAGTGTGGTTGGTTCTGCACAAAGTCTTAAATAAAATAACAAATTGTATTATGCTAGTGTTTGGAAATGTTCCTAAAATAAGCTTTGTTTGACCCTCAGTCCATTGAAGTTAATATGAATGATATTTACAAAATTAACATGCACAACTCGACATTATAAACGCAATCATCAGACCGGATAATTGCGTAATAACAATTTTCAATGTTCGATCCTTTTAAAGTTGATTAACGCTCTATGTTTAATATTGAGCAGGTAATCCATAAATATATACACTTTAAAACTATAGTCCGTATAAATATATATATATAAAGATATAGAATACATGTGAAAGGTTAATATATAATTTAGACATACGATTTTTTGTTTATTTTTTCGAACCCGGGAATCAATTGTGTTGGTTTCAGGGAAAATTGATCTATGAAAATCGCGGTTTTTTCAAATTTTTTTTTGAGCAAATTAATTTTATCATCTGTTACGCAAAAATTAGGAATTAGGTGTAAAGTACATTTACAAACATATTTCTGTAAATTCAAAAAATAAAATATGCTTTCCTAAAGATACCCATATATATATATATATACCGGATATATATATAAATATATAGTGTTTGTCATTTAGACAGAAAATTCTCGCGAAAATTTCAATAAATTCCCAAATACATTCTATCTTCTTCGGAGTTGATCTTCAGGAAACTGCAACAGACGACAGATTTAAAGTAATCTTTTAACTTTGGTTATAAAGGAACAGTTTGTTTTTTTATTTTACCAATGATTATCGGCTCCAAGAAGATAAAATTACTGGAAAATGGCAAATATATATATATATATATCAATGTGTGTGATGTAATATCAGAAAATGTTTGACATAATGGAAAACTTTATCGAAACGTTTTTCGTTCGTAAAAAGAACTTTTCAGACAATCAGATTTTTGATAATGGAATCAATTTTAAAAAGAAAATTTGACAGATAGCTTAAAATCTCTTGTGAATATGGTCTTGATTGAGGACTTTATCAATACAGGGTAAGGGAGGAGTAGATGTGATCAACAACAATAATCTTCAGAAGCTTTTTCAAAATTGATCGCTGCATTTATAATTAAATTAAATTTTTAATTTAAAGTTTAATAATTAATGTTGCTGATTTAAATAATAAAGACACAACAATTTTGTATGTAGTTCAAAATTTTCCGTACAAACAATTATTTTTATTTCATGGGTGAAAACAATAAAACCTGCAATTAATTTCTATAATTCCCAAATTTATTCCCAAGTTTTATAAAAAGATGTTATCGTACAAAAAATGCGTTTTAAAAAATCACAAAAAAAAAAAAATCTCAATTAGATAAAGAAAACTTGGGAATATGAAAATTTCAGGATAGATTTCTGATGTAGGATGTTTAACTCTGGCATAATTATTCAATCATATATAAGGCAATATGAAAAGTTTTTTTTAAATTTATGATTGACGGTATTACAAATGGAAATGGAAAATTTTTAATTTATCAATTAAAATAAAATTTTCAGATGTCATCCAATTTGCTGCTGTTTTCTCGCGTTGGTTTTTAGGATCCGTATAAATAATTATCGAAAGAATAGATCCGTTAATATCTTGTGGAATATATCATTCAACAAAAATCTTATACATGAAATGAAATTAATTTTTATTCTTAATGGTTTATTTTCTTTTATCATAATTTTTTGTACTTTTTCAGACATACAAAAATTTAAGATTTTACACCTGCATTTTAATAAAGAAAATTGGCTAAAGTCTTTTAACCCTCAGACTCTTTAAGGAAAGAGACATTAAAATGATGTTAAAATGTGCAAATTTCTTGAAATAACGAAAATCCTTCATGTCTTGTTTACGGATAAAACATTTATTGATGGCTTATACTAAATTTTACCAACAAAAACATTTGAAAAAATGTCAACGAATACTCGTTGTCACTTTCGTAATGCTCGTTGTAGTAGAGACTTTGTAATCGCAGATACAACTATAGTAACGCCGTTGAACAATACTGGTGTCAGACGCCTTCGAATATCACTTCGCACTAATAGTACTTGCTCGATAATACTCGCTCGAATAGTAATCCGAATAGTGATCCGAATAGAGAAATAGTATAGTGAATAAAGTAGAGAATAGCGGTCCATATAGTAATAGAGGATAGACTAGAAATGGAGGATCCGAATAGTAAGAGATGATAGAATAGTGACTTCATTTATATATGAGTTTCCTCTATGTTTTCTTTATGGTCCGTTTAATTCAATAATGGGATCGCCTTGTTTGCTCACTGGCGATCTATGTTCAAACTCAAGTGTCGGCAGCGACACTTTATTCCTATATAACATTTAAACAAGAAATGCATTTTAAACACAGTGTTGATAGCAAAAATTTAAAAACAATATTAGACCCATAAAATAAGGTTTTAAAAAAGCGAGAAGAAAGGATTAAAATGATTAAGAACTCAGAATTAAATCAATTTTCGGTAAATGACTACCCAACTATTTTTTTAGAGAAAAGATTGGGGAAAAAAAAAAAATTTAAATATAAAAATTCAAATAAAAATTTTTAGACGGAAGAATATTTATATTAACCGAAATCGGAAGGCGCAATATCATAAGAATAGCGAAAAATGTCTAAAAATTATTATACAAAATAAAGATGAAAAAAATTTAATATATAAATTTTTTTTTCGTTAGAAAATAAGAAGAAATAATATATAATCGTTATAAATCAAATAATAATAGGAAAATGTATATAAAAATAAATCCATAATAAATATATAAAATTTATACTGAAATGAATATAAAAATATTTTTAAACAATAAAAAAATTGTTTTTTTTATACCCTAAAAAATAATGAAAAACTCTCCCATTTTTTATTAAAATAAACGTTTCCTATTTATATAAAAATGGTTTTTAAAATTAAGAATAATGCATATTTATTTATAAATGTTTTGCAATTTATTTTATTCTAAATTAATAAAATAATTTGATATATAATAATATTTAAATTTGTGCAACGGTTATCAAATTGTTAATATATAAAATATAAATGAAAAATTGAAACAAAGAATATATATATCCATAATTTCAAGCCTTAAATATAACTATTTCTTTTTAAAATATTAATAAAAATGATGACATTCTTAAAATCGCAAAAATAATTTTAGTGTGTTTAATATGTTAATATATCATAATTATAAATTAAATAACTGAAATAATTGTATGAAATGGGAGCACAATAATAATCTTTTTTCAAAAATTTTATTGGATGGAGAATTACAATATTGTTTATAATATTAAGCAATCAATGAACAATCAATTTCAAAGATGAAGAGTTAGAAAATTTAAGAATCGGATAGAAATTTAAAAGAAGAATGGAGCATACCAAAAACTGATCTTGCGAACAATTTTTTAAAGAAAATCAAATTTTATATGAAATTTATAACTTTTCAGAAAGAATATATTTTCTGAAATTTAATATTGATATTTTGAAAAAAATGGATTAGAGGTTAAATTATATCAAAAATTAAGATCTGTTTAAGAAAATGAAAGAAAAAAATGTTTTCATTATTTTAACTAAAATTAGAACATAAAATGAAATTCAAAAAAAATATTGAAAGTCAAAAAAAAATTTTGCTATTACAACAGACAGGAAGTTCTGGAGAGGCATTGATTGGATGAAAATTTTGAAGAAGAAATAGTCAAAGATTTTTCAATGCACCCTAATCTGATAAGGCATTCTTCATCAGGTATCAAATTCAAAATAAAAAATTAAAATGAAGATATTTCAATGATATTGATGTATCTTTTTTATCGAACTTTTGTAAAAAAAAAAAATTATTATTCTTTTTTAACATAAAGTTAAAAAATTATAGATTACAAGATAAATATTTTTTCGAGTTAACATTTTTTAAAAAGAATAAATTGATAAAAAAAATTTAAAAGGAAAAGTTATTTTGATAATATTTGAGAAAATAAAAAAATCATAAAATTTAAAAAAATAACAGAATGGATGTATATGAAGAAGTATTTACAATCTAATTTGTTTTATATGTAAATTTAAAATATCAATTTACGGTTAACTTTTAAAAATTTGAAATAAAAAGCAAAAAAGTTTTTTTTGAAACTAAAATTTTCAAAAAAATAAAACGAAAAGTGCTTTTATTTGGATGATATTTAAAGATTAAAAGTAACAAAATTTACAAAATTTTGATTTCAAATTTTAAAAATCCATAATAAAAAGTCAATTCAAAATGTCAGGTAAAGAAAATCGATTTATTTAGTGCAATTCTTTGTTTGTAAAAACAATGTAACAAAATGAAAGGAG